CCCAGCACTTTGGGAGGCTGAGGCGGGTGGATCACGAAGTCAAGAGATCGAGACCATCCTGGTCAACATGGCGAAACCCCGTCTCTACTAAAAATACAAAAAATTAGCTGGGCATGGTGGCGCGTGCCTGTAATCCCAGCTACTCAGGAGGCTGAGGCAGGAGAATTGCCTGAACCCAGGAGGCAGAGGTTGCGGTGAGCCGAGATTGCGCCATTGCACTCCAGCCTGGGTAACAAGAGCGAAACTCCGTCTCAATAAATAAATAAATAAACAAACAAACAAACAAACAAACAAAACTAATACACTCTTAAAGAACCATCTTCCTTTTCCTCAGAACATTTATCTCAGTGTATCACATTTATTAACTTCCTGTTAAGAAAAATAACTACCATCTAAATTCAAGTATAAGTTCCATAAAACTTGGATTTGTTAATTTCCTCTTTTATCTACGGAACCTTAGAGAGTTTCTGGCAGCTATTAAGAACTCAGTAGAACGGATGAATGGATAAATGGGTGAATGAGTGAATGGCATGCTGGCTTCTCATCAATGCCTCTTTAACGCAGCTGTAAAATTTGGCTTAAGTCCCTAGGCTCCATAGCCAAGTTACATTTCATCTTGAATAGTCAACTTCCAGTCCTGATTTGAACATGACCATGTATCAAGATGGCCATATTTAATTTTTTAAGGCACTCTGTGACAAAAGAAGATAAGAGAAATTATTAGATATTGTTTCTGACAGGACTTAAGCAGTCTAGGCTGAAGAAACAAAGTCATCACCTTGCATTTAACAGAAAGAAGAATGATTTAGTTATTAGATTAATTTAATATGACTGTCTAAGGGTAGAATGAGCTGTATTATAAGATTGTGAGTTTTCTGTTGTGACCTTTCTTTTTGGAGGACTGTCATGGTCTATCATTCCTTATTTTTTATTTTTTAAATTTTCTACATTGGCAGATAACATTATATGGTTTTTTGTTTTGCTTTTTTTTTGAGATGGAGTTTCGCTCTTGTTACCCAGGCTGGAGTGCAATGGCGCGATCTCGGCTCACCACAACCTCCGCTTCCTGGGTTCAGGCAATTCTCCTGCCTCAGCCTCCTGGGTAGTTAGGATTACACGCACGAGCCACCATGCCCAGCTGATTTTGTGTATTTTTAGTAGAGACGGGGTTTCACCATGTTGACCAGGATGGTCTCAATCTCTTGACCTAGTGATCCACCCGCCTCGGCCTCCCAAAGTGCTGGGATTGCAGGCTTGAGCCACCGCGCCCGGCACATTATATGTTTTTATCAGGTACAATATGATGTTTTGAAGTATATGTACATTGTGAAGTGATTAAATCTTGCTAATTAACAAATATATTGCCTCTCAGCTATCATTTTTGTCGTGAGAAAACATAACATCTACTCTTTTTACATTTTTGGGGAAAACAATATTTCATCTTTAGCTATAGTCACCTTGCTGTAAAATAGATCTCTTGATATTTATTCCTACTATCCTTTTACATGTCTTTTGACCAACATTTTCCCATTTCTCTCTCCCGTACAACCACCCTAGCCTCTGGTTACCACCACTCTACCCTCTACCACTATGAGATCAACTTTTAAATGGTTGGGCTCTGTGTCCTTAGCTAAATCTCATCTCAAATGGAAATCCCTGCAATCCCCAAGTGTCAAGGAAGGGACTTGGTGGAAGGTGAGTGGGCCATGGGGGCAGTTTCTCCCATGCTGTTTTCATGAAAATGACTGAGTTCTCACAAGAGCTGATGGTTTCCTGAGTGTTTGACAGTCATCATGTAAGGCATGCCGGCTTCCCCTTCTGCCATGACTGTAGGTTTCTGAGGCCTCCCCAGCCACGTGGAACTGTGAGTCAATTGCACATTTGCTCTTCATTTTTTCTTTTCTGTATAAATTACCTAGTCTTGGGAAGTTCTTCATAGCACTGTGAGAACAGACTACCACAATGGGAACATGTGATATTTGTCTTTCTGTGACTGTCTTTTTTTTTATTTTTATTTTTTTAAAGACGAGGTCTCACCATATTGGTCAGGCTGGTCTTGAACTCCTGACCTCAGGTGATCCACCCGCCTCAGCCTCCCAAAGTGCTGGGATTACAGGCATGAGCCACTGCGCCTGGCTCACCTGTCTTATTTCATTTAACATAATTTCCTTCAGATTCATCCATGTCATCACAAATAAAAGGACTTCCTTCCTTTTTATGGTTAAAAGTATTCTATTTTGTATATATACATTTTGTTTCTTTTTTGTGGGGGTCAGGGATGTTTATTTTCTTGGCATTTGGGAGACATCCTCCTCTTCCCCCAGGAGAGGGCAGAGAGAGTTGCCTGGATGTTTATGGGCAAATGGGTGCACCAAAAGCTCATGAAAGCAAATGAGATCATTGGAGATCATGCAGTCTTGTGTTCAAGTCTTATGTGGTCTCTACATTTCTGAGCTTTTAAGAATAGTAGCAGAGGTTGCAGTGAGCCAAGATGGCGCCACTATACTCCAGCTTGAGTAACAGAGTGAGACCCTGTCTCAAAAAGAATAAAAAAGAATATTTGGCCACACTTGGTGGCTCATTCCTGTAAGTATAGATTCACCAATAGCTTGCACCATGTACCTGGAAAAGCCATAGACACACAATGCTAGCTGAGAAAGCAACCAGAAGGGGGCTGTACAAAGCCACAGGGTGAAACTACCCAAAACCAATGGGAGCCCACCTCTTGCATCAGCGTAACCTGGATATGAGACATGGAGTCAAAGCAGATCATTCATTTTGGAACTTTAAGATTTAAAGACTGCCCTATTGGACTTTGGACTTGCATGTGGCCTGTAGCCCCTTTGTTTTGGCCAATTTGTTCCATTCTAAAGGGGTGTATTTACCCAATGCCTGTACCTCCATTGCATATAGGAAGTAACTAACTTTCCTTGGATTTTACAGACTTATAGGCAGAAGGGACTTGTCTTCCATCAGATGAGACTTTGGACTTGGACTTTTGTATTAATACTGAAATGAAGGCCGGGTGCGGTGGCTCACGCCTATAATCCCAGCACTTTGGGAGGCCGAGGCGGGTGGATCAGAAGGTCAAGAGATCGAGACCATCCTGGTCAACAAGGTGAAACCCTGTCTCTACTAAAAATACAAAAATTAGCTGGGCATGACAGTGTGGGCCTGTAGTTCCAGCTACTCGGGAGGCTGAGGCAGGAGAATTGGTTGAACCCAGGAGGCGGAGGTTGCCGTGAGCCGAGATCACGCCATTGCACTCCAGCCTGGGTAACAAGAGCGAAACTCCGTCTAAAAAAAAAAAAAAAAGAAAAGAAAAAAGAAAAAGAAAAAAAAAATACTGAAATGAGTTAAGACTTTGGGGGACTATTGGAAGGGCATGGTTGTGTTTTGAAATGTGAGGACATGAGATGTGGGAGGAGCCATGAGCGCAGTATTTGTGGACGAGTATGTCTGCCCACCGTAAATCTCTCTTTTTCCTTAATAATCAGGTGCAGATTTATCACTTATTATTTCATTTATCATTTTCAACTTTCCATTATAATCTCGGACTTTTATAGACTTTGAGCACAAGCTCCCTCAGCTTCCTTTTCCCAGGCTTAAGGGTCCTCATACTTTGTCATCTCTCTTTCCATCTACTGATCTTTCCCATAAAGTGATTATTAAATGTCGTCATTAAAGATTTCCCCCGATCTCCTCTACCTTCCATGAGGTGCGGTGGTGGGTAGAACACTACATAGTGCTCCACGTGCAGGCACAACAACGGCTATGCAGAAAGAACTTCCAACATGGAATGAGAATGGAAACCTACAGAAAACACAACAAAAAGCTGGTTTCCTCCAACGATAGTTAAGGGCAGCATGGGGCACAAATAAATAAATTTGCTACTTCCAAAGTAGGCCTAGGGGTGATCTAGAATAGAAATTTAGAGCTGTAAAGGAATTTAATTTCTGCTGGTCGGGTAGTTGCTTCCGCACATTGTGTGAAGTTACTGCCACCTTGTGGCAATACCTAAGCACTACACTTTCTGACTTTGAATAACCTAGGAAAATATAATCCATAACACAACCAGCCCTTTTGCTAACGCGCCTTAAATACTGCCTAACAGTTTATATCTGAATAGAACTATGGCAAATATCATCACTTACATGGTCTCATCCCGACTTCCAAGAAATCATGTGACCATAGAAACCATATTATCCATGTTGAATGCTTGCATGCGCGTGCACACACACACACACACACAAATACACACACATACAGTAAAAGATGTCAGGATTTCTGCTGTTAGAGTTGAACTTAAAAATCTCTAAATTGTTACATTTGGAGGCTCTCATTTTGGGGGATCCTTGTGTGAGATGCTCCTTTGTTGGTCAATTTTAATCATACAGACAGAAATAAATGATATATCAATTGTACATAGATTAAAAAACGTAAACAAGATGCAGATAAGATGGGGACATTCAATGATCTGTACAATAATATAAAAACAGTTTTTGTGTGCAGGCAACTTACATTGTCATTACCGGAAGGAAAGAGAAGGATAAACAATACTTGGATTTGAAAGAGCGGATGTGTGAATTAACAAGCCTGCCTTGGATCGTCTGGGCCCACAGCAGGCTGGGGGCAGGGAGAACAATGCACGGGCTGTGCGGAAGAACAAGATGACCTGCTGTCCCAATTTCTTTCCTTTATCTTCAAACCTTTGGTAAACCATGTAAATGCAGTTTTGAGAAGTCAAGATTGAAATTTCATATTGATGTTCACTGCAGTTGAACTGGAGACAAGGAGGGGCAAAAAGGCAAGTTGAAAAGGGGGGTAAAGGGGGCAAAGAGGATGCTGCACTAAATTAGCAAACAAATTCCGGCGGCATTTCTTTGGGGACTTTCCTGCTGAAATGTAATCCCTAGTGTTGGAGGTGGGGCCTGATGGGAGGGGTCTGGATCACCGGGGTGGATCCCGCATGAATAGCTTAGGGCCATCCCCTGTTTCCTTCATCCACATGCATTCCCAGAAATGCCATAAAAGGAAAGGCCCAGGCTTGGCAGACAAAGGGATCTGGCAGATGCGGGACTCCTAGTATATTTTTCCTCCTCTTCCTGAAGACATTTTGCCACAAGCATGTAACTCAACTTCTGAAAACTATGGTCTTCCTCACTGCAGACAGCACGCCACTGTTTTGAATCATCAAGTTAACTGTCTTCATCTGTTCTGTTTGCAGTAGCATGTAGTTTGCCTGTGACAATATTAGACTTATCTGGAAGAAAGAACTTCAACCTATCCAGTTCCTCAGTGGTAGTGTTATCCAGGCCCGTTAGCAAGAGTATCTCCGTATATTTACTCTCCATTTCACAACTTTAGCATCAGCTTATAAGGAATCCAAACTATGTAAGATTCTACCACCCAAAGTGATTCTACATTCAAAATAAAGCAAGGTGAGCTGTTAATATTTTTTAAAGGGGAAATAAAATGTTTACAGTGTTGGGAACCAGCCCAACCCTGTGTGGGGGTGCCCCGTGTCCCTGCAGTGATGAGGGGGTGAGAAAAGGAAATAAAGACCAAGACACAAGAGTAGAAGTTCACAGCATGGGTCCAGGGTTCCAACACACTCTCACACGGGCTGATCTGTGTTGGCACTGAGCTCTGGGCTCTACCTGCTTTCATTAGGTGTATATACTTGTTAATTGAGAGATGGGGGAGCAGGGAGGGGTGATGGGGAGGACTTGAAACTATTGGGAGAGGCCTTGAAACTAAGGTGGGCAAGATAGCCAAGGAGGAGAGGTGTGGTCTGCCGTGTTAATTAGCAGAGGTGATTCTTAGGCAAACCTAGTTGCTACCAAGGTGCATTTGCATCAGAGAAGCAAAGCGGATAAGGCGCCACCAGCTCTGGCCACACCCAGTGCTTTTATCTCAGGAGCACTTCTAGCATAGAGCAATTAAAATTACTGCATATTCTGAGAACATCGGCAGAGCCTGTGGCATTCTGGTAATCTCTGCTCTGCTAGGCTTTTCCTTCTTGCAAGCTCCCATCTGCAAAGACTCCGGGATCTTGTGAGCAGAGGTCACCTCCCGGAGATCTCACACAAGTCCTCTTGACGAGATCCTCATGCAAACTCCTTTCTGAGAAGGCATTCGCGGGACCAAAGCAGTATTCACTGCCCTGCAGCCAACCCGCGGTATTCCATGGTTTCACAGCGCTCAGATGGTCTTTGCCCCGTTGCTGCTTCATTTCTATTTTACTGCACCAATATTTGATACAGCTTAGTTTGGGGTAGAAACTTAAATGTACAATAAGCAAAGCAACCTTATAATTATTTGACTAGAAATAACATAGGTCTGCCCCTGGCCATCTTGACCCACAAACAGTATAGTAAAAGAGATTTTGGTGAAATATAAGAAAGAACTCCTTGCCGGGCGCGGTGGCTCAAGCCTATAATCCCAGCACTTTGGGAGGCTGAGGTGAGTGGATCACCTGATGTCAGGAGTTCAAGACCAACCTGGCCAACATGGTGAAACCCCATCTCTACTAAAAATACAAAAATTAGTCGGGGGTGGTGGTATGTGCCTGTAATCCCAGCTACTCAGGAGGCTGAGGCAGGAGAATTGCTTGAACCTGGGAGGTGGAGATTGCAGTGAGCCAAGGTCGTGCCATTGCACTTCAGTCCGGGTGACAGAGTGAAACCACCATCTAAAACATATATATATTTTAAAGTATTTGTTATAGGGTAAAATTAATACCCAAAGAAAATGCAATCTATAAGGTGGCTTCCTTACTCAGGGGTGTACACAATGTAGTTGAGAAGCATGGTCCTGTACCACGCATAATAGCTGACACTGGATGGCACCTTACTGTGTGCAAAGTGCTTTCATATGGAGTCTGGAAGATACGAAGAAAAGGAGACATTGAGGGAACATATAATTATCCCTGAATGGGAATGATAATTCCTATCTCTGGGTTGTAAATATGCAGCATGGTATGCCTGATACATGACAGCTGGCATTTATTATAGTCTCCCAATTATTACATTTTAAATTAGGTGGCATGAGTTATCTGAAACCACACAGCTAGTTAAAGACAGTACAAATTACTGAATTCAGGTCTTCTGAATCCAGGAGCTCTGCTTCTTATGCCAACTGCCTGTTTATCCTACAGATAGTATGGAATGATTCCCTGTTAAAAAATAATAATAATAAAGAAGGGCCGGGCGCCGTGGCTCAAGCCTGTAATCCCAGCACTTTGGGAGGCCAAGGTGGGTGGACCACGAGGTCAAGAGATCAAGACCATCCTGGTCAACATGGTGAAACCCCGTCTCTACTAAAAATTACAAAAAATTAGCTGGGCATGGTGGTGTGTGCCTGTAATCCCAGCTACTCAGGAGGCTGAGGCAGGAGAATTGCCTGAACCCAGGAGGCGGAGGTTGTGGTGAGCCGAGATTGCACCATTGCACTCCAGCCTGGGTAACAAGAGCAAAATTCCGTCCCAATAAATAAATAAATAAAAGAAAAATAAAGACTAGTATTTTTTGCTGTGATTTCAAAGACATTAACCCTGAGATATATAGTAGTGTAATAATTGAAGCATTAGCAATTATTTTATTTATCAAATCATTTATTTCTCTTTTTTTGTGTGTCTTTTCGTTTTTGGTTTTTTTTGAGACAGAGTTTCACTCTTGTTACCCAGGCTGGAGTGCAATGGCGCGATCTCGGCTCACCGCAACCTCCGCCTCCTGGGGTTCAAGCAATTCTCCTGCCTCAGCCTCCCGAGTAGCTGAGATGACTGGCATGCGCCGCCATGCCCAGCTAATTTTTGTATTTTTAATAGAGACGGGGTTTCACCATGTTAACCAGGATGGTCTCGATCTCTCGACTTCATGATCCACCTGCCTCAGCCTTCCAAAGTGCTGGGGTTATAGGCATGAGCCACCGCACCCGGCCTCAAATCATTTATTTCTTTTCACCTAGAATATTGGCACAGCTTGTTCCTTCACTCTGTTCAGATTCTGCTTAATCGTTTTCTTCTAAGCTCAACCTTCAATGAACTCATGCTGTAAAATAGCACATTATACCATTACTCTCTATTACCTTACACCATTTATATTTCTTCATAGCACTTATCCACTTATAATACACAGGCATTATAGTATATATGACATTATAGTATAAATGCTGTTGCTATTTGATTATTCTTTAACTGCCAGCCTGCTGAAATAAAAGTGCCTTGCGGGCAAGGATTTGTGTGCTGTTTATTGCTCTACTCCTACAACCTAGAGTAGTGTCTTGCACATAGTAGGTTCTCAATAAACATTTGTTAAACAAGCATGCGTTGAATCAACTGTCTAGGCATCCCATCTAAGACTTCAGGCCTGGGAATCTCTAGTTCCTAAGCTTTATTCATCCATATGGCTTGATTACTCAAGAGCCGGGCATAGAGCAAATGTCCTCACTGCACATTCTTGAAGAGAGATGTCCCAGACAGAAACAGCACAGATAAAAAGCAGAATTGTAATCAAATGGCATCTATCTACTTGTAGAATAATTTCAAAAGAGAGCAAGATTAAGAAGGCTTTCAAAAACCTAAGGTATGATGCCAAATATATAACAGATACATAATGAAAGTGAAAAACTTAGAAACTTCTGTCTTTGGAGGGAGTAATCCAACTTCCTATGGTTCCACTGTGCAAGTTACCCTAGATTCTTTTTTTTTTTTTTTTTTTGAGACGGAGTTTTGCTGTTGTTACCCAGGCTGGAGTGCAATGGCGCGATCTTGGCTCACCGCAACCTCCGCCTCCTGGGTTCAAGCAATTCTTCTGCCTCAGCCTCCCGAGTAGCTGGGACTACAGGCGCATGCCACCATGCCCAGCTAATTTTTGTATTTTTAGTAGAGACGGGGTTTCACCTTGTTGACCAGGATGGTCTCGATCTCTTGACCTCGTGATCCACCCGCCTCGCTCCCGCAAAGTGCTGAGATTATAGGCGTGAGCCACTGCGCCCGGCCGAAGTTACCCTAGATTCTAAGAAGGAAGTAAAACATGGTGTATTACAGGGAAACTTGAAGTAACTGAGTATGTGTGAACTTTCAGACTAAGCTGATAGATAAATACATGGTTTATTTTAACGTTTCTGCTTGAAATAACCTAGTTATTTCACCTAGAATAATTTAACTGGTGAATCCAATATGTATTTAGCCGATTACTGTATTTTTATGTTGGCTATATCATAATATTCTGCAATTACAAAATTATGTAACAGTTAAATTACCGCCATAAAGCTAAGAAGAAATAACTTGTCGTATTCCAAATTCTTTTTTTTTCTTTTTTCTTTTTCAGTCGGAGTTTCACTCTTGTTACCCAGGCTGGAGTGCAATGGCGCGATCTCCGCTCACTGCAACCACCGTCTCCTGGGTTCAGGCAATTCTCCTGCCTCAGCCTCCTGAGTAGCTGGGATTACAGGCACGCGCCACCACGCCCAGCTAATTTTTTGTATTTTAGTACAGATGGCGTTTCACCATGTTGAGCAGGATGGTCTTGAGCTCTTGACCTCGTGATCCACCCGTCTCGGCCTCCCAAAGTGCTGGGATTACAGGCTTGAGCCACCGCGCCCGGCCGGCTCTTTGTTTGTTTGTTTGTTTTTTGTTTTAAAGACGGGGTTTCACCATGTTGGTCAGGCTTGCCTTGAGCTCCTGACCTCAGGTGATCCGCCCGCCTTGGCCTCCAACGTGCTTGGATAACAGGCGTGAGCCACCATGCCCGGCCTCCAGATTCTTAAAGGAGCTCAATCTCTGTTCTCTAAGTAGTCCCTTCTCTGTTTTGCTATTTCTTGTGATTCTTGGGTTGGAATCAGGTTTTGGCTGTATCAAGCAAAGAAGCAGTTAGCCACCTGTCACCGAGTTAGGGAACAGAAAAGACCAAGGCGATAGGTATTTGCACCATAAACTTCTCCCATCTTGAATGTCCACAATTCTGCATAATTTTGCATTTCTGACACTCATGACTTGATACCTTAAACATTCAAAAATACAGAAACACTTATTTGCATGAACAGGAGTCTTTTCTTGAACCAAATATTATCAACCCTTAATCTAAAACATAAAAAATAAAATAAAAGTCAAATACCACTTCTCCATTACTTGTAAATTTTGTCTCTTTATAATATATTAATACCCAAATTTGAGCAAAAATATTAAGCCCGGATGCGGTGGCTCATGCCTATAATCCCAGCACTTTGGGAGGCTGCTTGAGCTCAGGAGTTCAAAACTAGCCTGGGCAACATGGCAAGACCTCCTCTTGAAAAGAAAAAAAAATGTTAAGAAATCTAAATTTCACTTCATTTTACCCTTACTGCTAAGTAA